AGAATTCCCAGGTGTATAGTAGAGCTGATAAGGGGCAAGGTTGTGGTCACTGCTTGGTCACAGCCAGCTACCCAGAGGGACTGAGTAGTTGAACCTGTGGGCTTGGGACCATAGTCGCAGGGGACATCAAGGTCAATTGGCATAACATACTATACAAAACACTATTCCACCTCCTACTTTGGGAATAGCAACTGGGATCTTAAAAGCTAGGAAGCTGCCATGTAGATGCAATGATGGATCTCTCCTCGTCTAGAGCAAAGAAGAATGAAGAAAACCAAAATTCATGGAAACAACTGGTTTCCATGAGCTCCTGCGAGAGAATGTTGCTGAAGAAGAAGGAGGAGGAGGAGAAGGGGGAGGGAGCAGGGGAGGGAGGAGAAGGAGGATAGCACCTGGTACACCATCTGATCTGCAGCTTATACGACTATGAGACCAGATGAACTAGATGGTGCCTGGCTACCACTGTCATCCACCTGGAAGGGGATCTATCTAGGAGATCCTTGATAGAGAGGGAGAACAATGTGGAACAAAACTCAAAATCATTTCGAGGAAAAAAAAAGGGGGGGAACCAGGTTTGCTGGTCCAATAGAGCCTGGTGGATCCACTGAGACTATGGCCCCTATCTGCCCTTCAGGTCTGGAATTGAACCCACGCCTGTGGTTTCTAGCCAAACAAAAGACAGGCATATAAGTTGAACATTTACCTCAGGTAGATACACTCTTTGGAGAGAACAATCATGGGAGAAAGAAGGGCTGTATATGCACAGGGAGACAGTTCAGGGGGCAGGTGTACATGGAGGGATGGACACAGGGAAGAGGTAACTATGGGGAGGAAGTGGGAGGGGAGTTGTTCCATTGTGGTAAACTATGATCAATGTTATGAGACAAAGTGTACGTGAACTGCTGTATGGAAAATGAATTTGCTCTGTAAACCTTCACCGAAATCACAATAAAAAAAAAAGTGTATTAGAGATAGGGAAAGAAATTAATCAGTCTGAAGAACAGAGAGAAATAATGAAGGACAATGAACAGAATTTCAAGTACTTGTGGGATGATGTAAAAAAGCCTAATATGGAATTCCAAAAGGAGAAGAGTGAGAAAATGTGTATGGCCAGAAAACCTACTAGCTCACAAATTAACATGGGAGCATCCAGAAGGCACTCTTTACCAAAATGGTAAGAACTGCACTGGTGAGGACACTGATATTGCTGAAAAGCTTAATAATGTTAACCTTTAAATCCTAGGGCTGATGAAAAGAGATGCTGTTATAAGACTGAGATACCTGATAGCAATTGGGATAATAAAAACCAAAACAATCAAACTTATTGCTATTGAGTCAACGACTTATAGCAACCCTTCCTTGGGTTTCCGAGGTGGTAAATCTTTACAGAAAAAAATTGCCCTATATTCCTTCCACGGAGTTGCTGGTTGGTTTGAACTGCCAACCTTCTGGTTAGCAGTCAAATGCCTTAGGCACTGCCCTCCCGGAGCTCCTTGCACCACCAAGACAGGCAGCCTAAATAACGTGTTGCTGTCAAGTCAGTTCCAACTCATAGTTCACAACTAACCCTACAGGACAGAATTGACCTGCCCCATTGGGTTTCCAAGGCTACTATCGGTAAGGAAGCAGTCTGTCACACTGCTCTCCCTAGGAGCAGCTGGTGTGAATCGCCGACCTTTCAGTTAGGAGCCACGTGCTTAACCATTGTGGCACCAGGGCTCCATAGGCAGTCAACAAGGGTATTAATCTGTAAATCAAGGATGGATGATCAGGGATTAATAATAGTTAACCCAATAAAAGAGTAGTGACCACCTGTCCAACCTACACCAACTTCTACACATGGAAATCAGTGTCTCAGAGGTCAGCTCTCCAGAAGGTGGTTGTTGTTGTTAAGTGTCATTGAGCCATCTTCATCTCATAGTGACCCTAAGCACAGCAGAATGAAACACCGCCTGGTCCCGCACCAGCTTTGTTATCCCTGCTATACTTGAGCCCATTGCTGCAGCCACTGTGTGAATCCATCTCATTGAGGGCCTTTCCCTCTTTCATCGACCATCCACCTTACCAAGCATGACATCCTTCTCCACGGAATGGTCCATTCTGATAACATGACCAAAGTAGGTGAGAACTCCAGCTGCACTTCCTCAAGGATAGATTTGTTAGTTCTTTTATCAGTCCATGGTACTCCAGAAGGTATCCAATGTATTATCTGGTTACCAATCACATTCTTCCTCACCCATACTATTTAATAGCAGCCTTACCTCCTCATGATGATCAGACCCTGGCCAGGATGGTGACTTTTTCTTTTCCTGCTGCTTCTGGGACATAAAACCCAGTACAACAAGATGAAGTCTTAAAGTTTAATGGGGCTCTTATTTCTACATTTCCACTTTAAACCACTGACTGTCGTCCTGTAATTTTCCCTAAGAAAGAGACCAACTGGAGTTTGAGTATATGATATTTTTGAGTTTGAGCACATGCTTGCTGTGACCCAGCATAAATGCACAGCAGCTATGAAACAAATACTAAGTATTCACAAGTGTTTATCAAGTCTTAGGCTATACGCCATAAGTTTATAAAGAAGAATGTTATGGAATTGCTCTAATACATTCACTTTATAATATTCTATGTAGAGAACCAAAGAAAGAATACCTGGGAAATGAGGTATGATTTCACCATCCAGCTTGTAAGCAACTCCAACTTTGATTTCTGTAAACAAGTCCAAAATATCCAATTTGGTAAGTGCCAACCTAATTTTGGAAGAAAGAGTAGCGTTAAAACAGCAAACATATTAAGGTTTAATATCTAATACGATGAGGGATTAAAGGAAAATCCATATATAAAGCTAAAAGTTCCAAAGCAATTCTGAAAACAGATTAGGATTATATTATAAAGCATGCCACACATAAAACACTAGTGGACAATTCACTGATGTATAGTTCTCATAATATAAAAAAGGACTCAAATGACCCACCATCAAGCTACTTTTCCAGTAATTGTAACAGATTTTCACTGATTAATCCACACACTCGCTCAGCTTTCTTATGACTGATCAACAACAAATGTTTATGGGAGGGCTGCCTGGAGTTAAGGATGCATTCATTCTATGGCCGTGAAACACAGCAACACTCATTGTTCGACATGGATGATCACAAGAGTTCACTAGATCTATGTGTATTTACAAACATGCCATTCACCCCTCCTTTCTTCACTTTCGTTACCAACACTTCCACCCTTCTGGGCAGAAACTGCCAAAGGGAAGTGAGAAAACCACATCAAGGACCTCTTCATGACACTTCAAAATCTCCCGATAAACTGACTGGAAAACAGGGTTTTAAGGGAAAATCTGTAGAAATTAGATAAAATACTAGGTTTGAGATTCTTGTCCACAAATTAATTTTTTATTTAGTTTCATTACTTGCTAAAATTAAGTAAGCCTGATTAATACAGATATGACTATATGTATGTATATGTTAATAACAACTAACTTTTACTGAGCATTTTCAGTGTGCCAGGCAGTGTGCTATATATATGTTCACTACATTTCTCACCTAATTCTCAAAATCCCTATGAAGTGAATAGTGCTATTTTGATTTTAAAGATGTTAGAACTGAGAACAGAAAGATAAACTTGCTCTAAGTAACACAAGCATAATGAATGGACCCAAGCTATAAATTCAAGGAGTTAGACACAGGCCTAAGTTCAAAATCACCATGAATATTGTCTTTACTGATTCTTTCTTTCCAACCCTGGATGTCTATGGAGATAACAAGGGTACCTCTCCTAATGTACCCTCCCTCTATATCTTGGTCCACTTCTACCTGGATCTTTAATTCCAGCTCAAAAACCAGAAAGTGGTATTTTTCCATTAGGGTACTATTTATAGTTTTTACCCCACAAAATTAAAACTATGGTCATGAACTGTCTTATTATTTCCCGAAATAAACATTTCTGTGGAATACTCACGCAGTAAACCCATTAATCATGTGAGCGTATTTGAGCAAAACGAGGTCTAACCAGCCACATCTCCTTTTCCTTCCAGTAGTTGCACCAAACTCTCTACCTCTTGTTTGTAATAATTCTCCAATTTCCTAGGGAATAGAAAATAGAATTGGGGCTTAGAATACCGGTATTACAAATCTAGTGGAATCATACTAAAAATCAGAGAAAAAGTGTAAAATCTCTTTAAGGAACTCTGGTGATGTAATGCTTAAGCACCAAGCTGATAATCAAAATGTTGGTAGTTTAAATGAACCAGAGGCTCACAGGGAAAAAAGATGTGGTCATCTGTTCCCATAAAGATTACAGCCTAGGAAACCCTATAGGGCAGTTCTACTACATCCTACAGGATTGTTATGAGTCAGAATAGACTCGATGACATACAACAACAAAGCCTCTTTCAGATAAACATCAGAAAACAATGACTGAAATTCAAGTTGAAGATAGAATTCCATAGAGACAAAGAGTTTAATCTGAGGAAGGCATTAGTGGAATACATCCATTTTGGGCTTTTTTACTAAAAATTTTTACTATATTATGTAAGCAATTTCCTGGAATTCAGACTGACATATTAAAGCCAAACTAAATGCTGCATATTAAATAGTTAAGAAATATTTATTAAAACAGAAAGTTTAAAAAAATTGTTGCAACCACCACCCTGGTTTTTCCTGATTGAAAATCATAAAGCAAATTCACATTGAATAAATAGTTGCTAATGGCTAGTACAAACTGCACTCACCCATAACTAAAAGGTTGGCAGTTTGAACCCACCCAATTGCACCACCTGGAGTTTGAAAACCAAAAGGGAAGAACATGCTCGGCATTTCTCAAACTGAAAGAACTGAAGAAAAAATTGAAGCCTCGAGTTGCAATATTGAGAGATTCTGTGGGTGAAATATTGAATGATGCAGGAAA